TTCAGCCATTCCAGTAACGCGAAGCTTCTGCTGCTCCCAGGGTGGATCCGGTGATGGATGACACCATCCACAGGCGCTGTCATCGTCATGATCTATGTGGGGCTGTTATTTGACAAATGAAAATTATGTAAACAGTACTCAAACTCAATCTTGCCTCATGATGACTCTGTCTGCTCCATACCCCCTGGCTGCAGTGTCCAGTAGAGCCAGCTGTTCTCTCATGGAAAATACCGAGGATAAAATTATCGTTAGGCAGCACCTGGTTGACTGCATGATGTAATCCTGACTCTTTTAGGTGGCTGGAGCTCTTTTAGTCCTTTTAGGTAGTCTGGAGATACTCTGGAGATGTATTTCACACATTTCAAGAACGTAATTTTCATTTCAGTCATCAAAATAATTTCTGGATATTTTTTTGCAAAGAAATGTAGGATCTGCTGGTTTTAAAGGGACTGAATATATGAAAACTACGGCTGTTTGAGATCAAACACCCAAGAAAGTGTTTTCAGCAATATCCTTCTGTAGCTGTGACTTGTACTTTCACCAGGCTCTGCGATTGCAGCAGTTGCACCCCCTGTCTGAAACTCTCCCCCAGCACCAAGGGAGCTCCTTTCTCATCCCAGCCCCAGGGATCTGAAGTTCTCCTTCCCCAGCCTGCACAGCAGCTCAGAAAACACAAATGACACAGCATAACAAAGTCCTACAAGGGCTGGAGTACTCCTCTATTTATAGGTTGCTAAATCTGACTTAAAAAAAAAAAAAAATCCCGAAGAGCTCCAGTCAAATTGCTACCTAGATGTTTCCAGGCCCAGCCAGAGTGTGCTGGCTTCCTGCCATGTTTTTAAATCCTACCCTGCACGCTGAGCTTTCGCAGGAAAATATGCCAGTGCTCATACGTGGGCAGTTACTATTTACACAAACACTGATGAACATTCCCATATTGTTTCCTGACTAAGTTGCAAATGCAAGAAAACAAAACAATAGCACGACCCGACAGTCTCAGGCATGCAAAGACAGCCAGCTTTTCCATTTCAGATGTGCAGCTGAGTGCAGCTCACACAGAAAGAGAGCTTTATGTTTATTTTTTCTTAAAAGGATGTGTTTTTTCCAGCTGAATTATACACTGGGGAAAAAAAAAAAAAGAGGTTTAATCAACAACTAAACAGCTTAGAGTGGTTCTGCAATGCCCAATTGATTGGCTTAACTTTCCTCTTATGCATGCAAAGAATGAAATAAGAGATGGCCCTTACAGTAAGAGCCATGTGGAGAACTTAAGAACAAAGCAAACCTCTTAGACTTTTCTCTCAGAAAAAGAAATTATACTACTCATTGTTCTAGGGAACATAGTAAAGGGATCAATGCACAGAAGAGCCAGAATCCCCTCACCTTCCTTCAAAATATGAGCCCATAAAGTGAAACTCCCAGAGCTTTAACTCAGAGAGTGCTGTTTAGGTGTCATCTAATCCTGGACACGTCTGAACTCCTCAGCTGCTCAAGCTCCAACCCTGGGCTTCCCTGACAACCTGAGGTCCTGGTTCTGTCCATGTGCAGAAGCAGTTGGGTTTGGGTCATGTTCAGGAAGCCCAGGCCCATGTCAGGCTGAGATCTAGAAACCAGGAGATAAAAAGAACCAGCATCAGCTGCAGGAGAAGACTTCACTCCTGACTGCAGAGAGCCAGAGTGAAAGCTCTGTTCCCACTTTGCACCAAGCAGTGACCAAGCTCCAACCCTGGGCTTCCCTGACAACCTGAGGTCCTGGTTCTGTCCATGTGCAGAAGCAGTTGGGTTTGGGTCATGTTCAGGAAGCCCATGCCCATGTCAGGCTGAGATCTAGAAACCAGGAGATAAAAAGAACCAGCGTCAGCTGCAGGAGAAGACTTCACTCCTGACTGCAGAGAGCCAGAGTGAAAGCTCTGTTCCCACTTTGCACCAAGCAGTGACAAAGCCCCTCTCCATTAACGCCCAGCCAGGGAGACCAGATTTCTGGAGCTAAAGCTTTGAGAAGAGCTCCAGATGTGCTCAAAGCCCCTCTCCATTGACTGCAGGGAGAGCCCAGCCAGGGAGACCAGATTTCTGGAGTTAAAGCTTTGAGAAGAGCTCCAGATGTGCTCCTCTACCTGCTTCCCAAGGGTCTTGGTGTAGGAGTATTTTTCGGAACACCATGTCTGCCAGACCCCATTTAAATGCAGTAGGAACCCCTGGAAAGCACCAGGAGGTGAATTTCTGCCATCCCTCCCACCCACAACATCCCCACAAAGAGAGTGCTCACACAACCCTGCACCACCCACATCCTCCCGACCTTGCTGTGACAGGAATAAGGGGAAGAGGAGCGCTCAGGTACCGCCTGGCCAGAGGAACACACTTAAAAGGCTGCTCTCTTCACGTACCTGATTTATAACAAGGGTCAGAATAATTCCCAAGCAGCTGCCGCATCGGGGAGCAAACTAATTCCTTTCCTCTCTCCTCGGCTGCGCAGCCCAGAGCCCAGCTGCACCTGAGGTTCCAGCTCACAGTCTATATTCTGCATCACAAAAGATACAAGAGAGAAATCTAAACGAGAGAAGTAATAACCTGTAAACTAATAAACCAACCCGGCACTTTGATAGCAAGGCGCTCCCAAGAGCAGGGATTATTAATGGATGTCCTGAAACGCTGTGTGTCTAGTTTCTGAGAGAAGTGGGAAACATTTCTGATGCTCTGTGGATCTTACACGTTCACTCTATAAAATCACTTCAGATAAATGCAAAGATTATTATAAAAAGCAGCCTCCTTCCAGTCTACACACACAGAGGCACTTAAGCAGTTTAAAAAGGAGAGTAGTAAGAAACTGCTCAAATAAATAATAATAAAGATATAAAGCCGCAATATTATGGGTAGTTTTTCTTGTCAAAGCACGGGGCTGCACAGCCATTGATTTTCTCTGGTAATTGAGACAGTGACATGCACGACTTATGTTTCTTCAGCAGCAAGTACATGGGAGTGGAAGGAGGGATCCTGAAATCCTGCAGAATCTCCAGCCGAGGGTTTGATGGCTCTGAACTGCTGTCTGTCTCCGTTGTTTATTTCCCTCGGACTGTAAAATGGGGTACATTAATAATCTCTTACGTCAAAAGAGAGTTTATGAAGCTAAATGGAATATTGTTGGCAATGTGGTTAGGGATCTTTGGAGGAAAATTGCTACAGATACCGGGAGTGTAAGTACAGATACCTGTCCTTCTCAGCCAGAAAAAGCTGGGAAGCAGGTGGGAGGCAGACAGACCCCTCGGGAAAGGTCCCGTTACCTGCCACCGTGTATATTCTCAAATCTCCGTCCCCTGCCTCAGCCACACAGACAATAGAAGCCGCCTTCTTAGTTCACTTTTAAATGTATTTACTTTCAACTACGCCCTGCCATCTGCTTCTCGAGTTTGCTGTATCCCACCTCAGCTGCATGCCAAAATGAGATATCCTACTGGTTGAAACTGTTAAAGATAACTCTTCCGTCCCAAACTAATACAAAATAGAGAAATACAGTGTTTCCATGTAAATCTGAACTAGAGTGGACTCTCTCTGTCCTCCTGTTGTGTCAAAAATAACATGGAGGCCAGCAAGGATGGAAAGAAGAATTCGGTCCTTTGTGTTTCCTCAAGTAAAATTATTCTCCGGAGAAGGCAGGAGCAGGAATAAACTTATTTATGAGTCAGGAGGCTTTACTGACAAGAGCTCCCATTATCTCCCTCACACAGGCAAAGTCTCCAGTGATTGTGGTGAGCAAGAAAGAGGGATGTTGGTTTTTTCGCAGTGCTGGAACACAGACCATTTGCCAGATGGCAAGGAGGGCCAGAAAGGTATCAGGCCTCTGGGTTTGAATTAACCACAAGAGTAACCTGCTGAATTCAAAGCTTTTCCGTGGATCTCTGCTGCTCTCTAATGGTGCCTTAAAGGATTCTCACCACAAGGTTTACACACTCTTCCTCTAATCAAGTGTTGTTAATACTTTTCATTTTAAAAATAAATAAAAAATATTAGGTTCTTAAGAGAGGTTACCTGAACAGATAACCCAAGTTGCTATTGCTGCAGCCAGACATTACAACATTTTGGTGAAAATGCCATTAAAGGAGAGCTAACAGCTAGAAACCAAGGTTTGGAGCACATTTTAGATGCAGCAATTGCAAAACTCCGGGAAGTTGCAAACCCCTGAGAAAGCCCAATTTTCAGAGCTTTGTAGAACTTTTTATACAGAGTTATTCATGAGTACCAGTATTTCAAAGACGAACAAGAATTAGCACTGAATTAACTGTGTGCAATTAACAAAAACTAACGTCACCGTACCATGGTCGGAGTGTGTCAGCCCCCAACATGGCAGCCAGGCCCCTGTCACGGGGCCCGCTTCCATGGCTCCAAAACCAGTCTTTTTTTGATGGGACTGCACAAGTGTGGCCCGACATCACCCAACGGGTGTGAGCGGTCGCATCCCATGTGGAAACGGGGTGAAAAAGGGGGACAAAACCCCCCAACATTCACAGCCTCTCTGCAGCCCGCAGGTCGGCCATGTCCCCTCAGGGGCCTGAGAAGGGGCACACGCCGCTCCCTCACGGCCGTGGGTGGGCTCCTGCCGGGTGACATCCCCACGCGAGGGGAAACCGGTGTAAAACGGGGAAAAATCGGCCGAGGAGGCCGGTCCGGGGGAAGGGGAGCAGCCCCGGGGCCGACAATGCCCCTGAGGAGAGCGGGCGGGGGCGGGCCTGGAGATGGCGGCGGGCGAGCGGCGGCGGGTAATGGCGGCGCGGCGCTGAGGGGAGGGCAGGGCGGCGGCCGGGCCTGCGCCATCTCCCCGCGCCGCGGACCGGCGGAGGGAGGGGAAAGTCACCGCTTCCGCCTCGGGGAGGCGGGCCCGGTCGGAGAGCGGCGGGGCCCGGCGCGGGTAGGGGCCTTCAAACCTCGGCCCGGCCTGAGGGGGGGCGTCTCCCTGGGGAAGCGGCCGGGGCCTGCGGGGCAGGGGGAAAGCGGGGCTCCGGGGTCGCCCCCCACGTCGGTTGTCGGCCACCGGGAGGGGATGGCACGGCGGGTCGGGCTCCGGGGTGGCCTGCTCCATGGGTGCCATCGCTGTGGAAGTGTGGTTAGCAACGGAACCCTGACACATGGCAGCTCGGGGGGAGCGCAGGCCATGGCTGCCGGCCAGTTAAATGTCCCCCCCCGGTCAGGGGTGCGCGATATTGGCCACTGTTCCTGTCACAGACACACACCTCTGGAGGCCTTTGTGCTCTGAAATCAACTTAGCCTGGGTAGGGTGCGGGATATTGGCCACTGTTCCTGTCACAAACACACACCTCTGGAGGCGTTTGTGCTCTGAAATCAACTTAGCCTGGGTATTTCAAGTGAAGGGAAGGATTTGGGCTTTATATAGCCCGTGGGCCGTGTTTTTAATCTAATGTTATTTTATTGTGGCTGTTGCTTTATTGTTCTTTTTTCCGCAGCGATGGAAGCGGGTCCCATCGTGACGTCCAAGCAGCGGGAGGAGGTGGTACACGGCGTCCCAACGGAGGTGGTCTGCACGGCCTTCTCCAACTCCGTCCTCGTGGTGGTCACGCAGTACGGCAAGATGGGGACCATCGTCTACGTGGACCCCAACACTGTCGGGGACAACGTGGGCCGGCCATCGCTCACCACAAAGGTGCTGCTGGGCAAGGATGAGGTGAGAGCGGGTGCACAGGCAGCAAGGATGAATGGGATAAATGGATATTAGGAAAAATTCCTACACCGAAAGGGTTGTCAGCCCTCGGAACAGGCTGCCCAGGGCAGCGGTGGAGTTGTCATCCCTGGAGGGATTTCAAAGCCGGGCAGACGTGGTGCTGAGGGACACGGGTCATGGAGGGTTTGTCAGTGTTGGGTTGATGGTCAGACTCAATGATCTGAAAGGTCCCATCCAACCCAGACAGTTCTGTGATTCTATGGTAAAGGGAAAATGTAGCAGGTGGGGCTGTGCGAGTTGCCAGGGAGTTAGTGAATCACAGAAATTCAGCAGCGTTTGCAGAGCAGTAAGATTAATTTTTAAATCTCTTCAGAGGGAAGAGGAGTTCATCAGGAAAGTATGAGTGCTCCTCTGCTCTTTGACGTAACAAAACGTTAACTAGTTGTCAGTGGTTTGGAGATCTGCTACAGTGTGTCCTGCAGGGTATGGATTGCTTCACCGTGTTTATGGAAGGTTTGATAAAGCTCCTGTTGATTTAAGGGTTGCGAGATCAAACATGCAGCCTTTGATAACCTTTTTTAGGTTTCTGTTTCAGTGAGTTTGTTTTCCTTCTGAAGTCCCTTTTCTCACCCCCACCCCATCCCAATCTATGCCAGCCCCGTAATGGACTTTAGTTGCCCTCTTCCAAGTGTGCCTGCCAGCACCTACCCTTGATAAAGTTTAATTTGTTTTGCTTCAACAAAATGAGTTTTTATCGACCGTTTCACAAAGCTGGAGAGAAAGCAGAAGAAAATGTATTTCGCAAAGCGTCAACTAGTCAAGCATTAAAACAGAAAGTTACAGAGCTACGAGATTACATGGCTTTCCATCAGGGTTGGAGCTACCAACTATTAGTTGCTAACCTTAACTAGAACAGCTCTAGCAACACAAGTTCCTGATTCTATCCGTGTCTTCCCCTTATGGAGTTCTCGTTCTCCAGCAATAGCCTTCCTTCTCTGGATGGGAGAATGCTTTGCTTTCCCTGGCATGATGTCTGCTAATTCTGACCACCTCTACCCCCACGCTGGTTCTGTGTTTTATTTGGAAATGGGATGTGCCTTTGTTTACTTCGTTACTTAGTATTTTTAAACCATTTTATCAACTTAATCGGTCTAAAGTCGAAGAAAATGTCTTCGCTAATTTGCTGCCTTCCCACTTGTAACCATTAACATCCCCATTTGGGATGGTGCACGCTTCCAAACCACATTGGTAGCTAAAATCAAGCAGACTCATCCTTCTGATAAATACATAACTGTGGGTATAAATAAAGCATACGCAAGCTGGGTGTTCTTGTTAAAGAAACCTCATTAAGAAGATTATATCTCTTTTTTTCCCTTTCTTCAGCTTAACTACTTATTTCTGGTTTTCATTCTGTTAAAATCAAAACCAACATGTTCTTTTACACACGGTATGCAAAGATTGTATTTCAGGGACTCTAGGAATTGTGAAAAATAACAGGTTTTTTTCCAGAGCTTGTCAGCGGAACGTACTCTCTTCAGCAACAAGTTTTTAAAAGACAAGTGTACTTGGAGACATCTTCAGAAAGCTGGCTGTGATGGAAATAGAGGCATTTTGATCCAGGGCTGTTCATATAATTTGATATTTGGTGACGTAGTTTGGGTGGGAGGATTCGCAGAAGGAAGGATTCTCCGATGCAAAACTGGATTTCAAGTGCAGCTCCAGTTAAGTCGTTTCAGGGCGGTTTGTGTGTTGTCGCTCATGGGTCCAAACTCTTCCCTTTTGATTTGGTTGAGAAAGTGCTTTCTGAAATTCCTGGTGCCGTGACTTGGCTTTTGCTGAACTCATGTTTGTTCCCAGTTGTGCTGGAACCGCTCCGCAAACTGCACGCTGGGTCTGAGTCCGGTATCGGGAGGTTCTCCACGTGCTCCGTGTCGTTGCAGGGCTCTTCCTCTCCCAACTCACGTGGAAGAGCTCTGCCAGCTGTGAGAGCTCCATCTACATCTGTATATTTTGCTTTTCCAGCCTCTCGTCCACGTTTGTGCCAAAAACCTGGTGGCGTTCGTGTCTCAGGAAGCCGGGAACAAACCTGTTCTTCTGGCCATGGCTTTAAAGGACAAGACCGTGGAAGGAATACAGGCTCTACGGGAAGTGATCCGGAGTTGCCAAGTGTGGTGAAGTTGTGCCATCTGGATTCAAGGAAATGATCTTGAGTCCATGACTCATCGCCACTTATTTAAAAGGACGAGAAATGAAAATGATGGAATGTCTTTGTGCTGGTTTTGGACGTACTGAGGAATTTCGCGGATTTTTCTCTACTGTGTAGAACGCGTTTTGGGTTCTGTTACTGTGACAGGTTTGCAGTCCCTACAGTCAGGGGACGAGACACGATTGTCTCGACGTACAAGAGAAGGATTATTTTTATCCCGTTGGGTGGGCTGTGTGTTTGGGAACGGGCAGGGCTCTGTGCTCCAGTCCTCAGGAGCGACAGATGCCAAGCTCTGTAGCGACGCCGGACCGCAAAGGGGCAACACCCAGCGCAGGGTGAATAAAAGAAACATTGACAAATCTAATTTTACCTGTTTTCTTTTTTTTTGCTCTGTAAAGATCACTTCAATTGAAATACGAGCCTCGGTGACAAATCAGCAGCGATTACATAATAGGAAATATTTTCCTGCCTGTTTTTTTAAGGAAATGAGTCCTATATGAGTGCTTTTGTCCCTGTGTCAGTCCCTTTCCTGGTGTAGTCTGGATCCTTCTTTCCACTTTCACTCCCCATTTTAAAGAAAGGCAGATAATTATGCTCTGCAAGTTTCATGAAAGCTGACATTGGGGTGGAAGGCAGGAACCCAAATTAGCAGTGGGAAAAAGCCACAGTAACAGCTGCTTATGGAATACTTGGTGCCAGCACATCAAGGTAGCAAATATTTGGGCCACCTGCGGTGCTCTCCCTCTCCTCAGGACTTGTCACAGGAGATACGGGCGCAGAAGGGGCTGGAGGGGGTTACACAGGGCTGTTTCTCTCAAATCCATTGAAAAAGAGCATTAGATGAAGAGATTAAGTCGATGCAATGCTTAATAGCCAAATTTTGCCATTTGCTTGGGAAGTGCTTTTGGTTTTACCTCTTCTTGTAACAAATAACACCACATAGTAAATTTTTAAGTTAGCTGTTCCACACTTTTGTCACTTATGAACTCGAGCGAGCAGATGGAGGCCAGGTCTCACATTTGAATTCTGGGCAGGGGTGACCTGCTCTGCACTGAGACCTGTCAGTATCAGCAGAATCAGCTCAGAACCTGCACTGGCCCCACGTAGATCCAATTGCTGGGTCAGTTCTGATGCTAGAAAAAAATCCCCTGTGAGTAGAAAAGCAAAAAACACATTTCGAAAGGACTCTTCTCTGAAGTAAGGGTTATTTACAGTTTTTAAGGGATTGTGAGAAATGAAACTTTTTAAAAGTACATTCAAACACTGCAGGCTTGCAGCTGCCCTTGACAAGAAATTTCATCTAAAAATAATTTCCGAACTGTGCTTCCAAGAATCAAAGATTTGCATCTGTCAGAACTCCAGATTTTCCTTCTTTTTCACTTTTAATTTTATTTTTCGTCTGGGAGGGCTGAGAGAGGCATGTGGGGTTTGTCAACGTCGATCCTGGTTTGCGAGTAGGGATTCTTCCCCCCACCAAAATTCCCAAATCCTGGTGCTCTCATGGTGCCTGTAGCTCCACCAGCTTGTGGGAACCAGGCGCTAATTAGCAGGTGGAATGTAAATCACCTCTTCCCCCGTAGCCATAGGGTTCCATCCCACCGCTACGCTTTTTTTTTTTTTTTTTTGTCTGGGAGGGCTGAGAGAGGCATGTGGAGTTTGTCAACGTCGATCCTGGTTTGTGAGTAGGGATTCTTCCCCCCCACAAAATTCCCAAATCCTGGTGCTCTCATGGTGCCCGTAGCTCCACCAACTTGTGGGAACCAGGCGCTAATTAGCAGGTGGAATGTAAATCACCTCTTCCCCCGTAGCCATAGGGTTCCATCCCACCGCTACGCCCTGAAGAGCTGAGTGTTACTCCCTAAAAGAAGTCCCACCACAACGTAACCCCCTTCATTTCCAGGCTCTGTGCCCCCCCAGCTCCACATGGGGTGGCGGATAAAGGATGGATGCGGAGATCTCTCCTGTTTGATACCCGGAGCCAGGACAGACTTATCTTCCTGCCTTTTCCACGGGTGATAAATTAGCCCACGAGCCATTGGCCCTTCGACTTTGCTCTGCCATAAACCAGGGGGAAGCCCTGCCCCAAAAACCCATCCACTGCCACCGCCAGCTGTTTGTCACCGCCGTTCTGCGGGTCGGAATTAATTCCCAATCACCCACTTTTTGTCACCCAGGGGCTGGGGCCAGCGGCGTGGCGTTTCACGGGTGGCTTTTCCATCCCTGTTTGCTTTCCGGGGCGTGGGTGGACTGGAAAGGTAAGTTGGGCAGCTTGTTTTGTTTTTTTTTTCTCCCCCCGCGGGAGGCAAAGCCCAAGACCTGCTGCTCCAGCTCTCCCGGGGCACAGCCCGGGTGGCAGCGGGCGGGCAGGGTGCCCGGAGGAGGAGTCTCACCCCTGGGTGCAGGTGGAGGAGGGCACAGGGGATGCCGAGCAGCCCGGAGGAGCCCCACAGGGTGAGTGGGAGCCCTGGGGGGGTGGTTTGGGGGTGTGTGTGCACCCATCTGCAGAGCTGAGGTTACCCCAGCCATCGGCCATGAGCACCCATGGGTGCTGCTGGTGGGGGGGCAGAGCCCTCTGTGCATCACCCACTCCTTGGAAGGGGTTTAAGGAGGGCTTGGTGCTGCCCTGCCTTGATTTATAGCTGGGTGCTATAGGTCCTTTCTGCGGGGTGCTGTGGGGGTGGGTGTTATTTACCTGATCACCCTCTCTGTGCCACCCCTGCCCCCATGTCCCTGCTTTATCCCTCAGCAATCAGGAGGAAATGCATGTCTCCTGTGCTGCTGGGGCAGAGTCTGGACACTCTGCTCCCTGGAATGGGGGGATTCCTCCCCCTTTACCACACAGACACTGGTGGGGGGAGCCACGGGGGCTGCTTTTCCTTTCCCACCACCCCAGATTTGTCCCAGGAGCCGTGGGGACAGGGGGAGGGACACTGAGAGTCCGGGCTGTGGCATCCCTTCGAGGGGAATCCCTCTCAAGGTGAAAAGCCCTGTTTGCAGGTGGCCTGAACACAGGTGTCACCACTCAGTTAATTTTATTTTCTGCTCCTTGCTCGCTCCCTGCCTCTAATTTCCCCGGGGAGTGAGTGTAACAGCACACACCTGTGTGGGGCAAGGTGTCTGAAAACAGCCAGACTGGACGTGGCACCAGTATGGTCCCATGGAGGAGCTGGTTTACAGCCGGTATTATTCTCCCTGTCTTCTCACCGCCTTTGTTTTGGAAGCAAATGGCTCTCTGGCTGCATTGAATTGCCCGGCTACCTCACACAGCCGGGATCTAATTACCTCTGGAGCTGGGAGCCCTGGCTCCGAGCGGCACCATGGCTTTTGTTTTTAACGACTTGCTCTGCCGCCTTCAGAGTGTGACAATGTTGGGGAGCCTGCCAGGACCGGCCACTGGTGCCACCCTGCTCGTCCCACCATGGCTGGAAGAGCTGATAGGGGTCGGGATGTCTTGGGGCCAAGCATCCATGGCACGGCGCCGGGTCCAAAAGAGAAAAAATAGATCTGGCGATGAGCACAGCTCTCCACCGTGTCCCAGGAGCGAGCTGGATCACCTCCTTCCCTCCTGGGATGCTGTGGCAGAGGGAAATGGTGGCCCAATCTGGTTGTACGTCCCCATCCTGCAGCAGGGCACCCCCCGGAAAGAGAGAGGAGCTGCGGGGAAGGGGGCACAGCCGGGTTCTCGCCTCCCTCCCCGCTCCCCGAGCTATCTCTGGCCTCCTGTTAATGTTTACAAGGCAGGTCCTCGCCGTCTGTCCAAAGACCAGATCCCTTCCCGGCTCTCCCCGGGATCCTGCTTCCTGCTGGGCTCCCGGAGGGTGACGGGGAGGAAAAAAACCCCCCTCCTCGCTGTCTCCCTCCGTAACACTATCGGTCCCTCCAGCCACCGCCGGCTCCGGGTGCAGGTACCACGGGGTGAGCTCCTGGGACCTCGCCAGCATCTCCGCTTACAGGCGGCTCCCGCCAGGCGGAATGGGGAGAGGAGGGGGGGGGAGGCAGGAAAAAAAGGGTATTTTTAGGGTTGTTGATGTGACACTGGCTGAGCTTCCTCTCCTGCGAGGTTGGGGTTCGGGGTTCGGGCAGGAGAGGAAGCTGCAGGGCGAGCTTCTGCTTTGGGTTGGTTGGTTGGTTAATTGGGCCGAGGTTGTTCCCCACCACTCTTAACCTTATTTTCTTGCCTGTGCTCACGGCTCTACCCCCAGGCGGTAGTTACCTACAGCTCAAATCTGTGTTTACAATGTGTGGAGAAGCATCTCTATCGTTAGAGCTCTGCTCACAGGTGGTTGTTTGGGGTTTTTGTTGGGTTTTTTTAATTGCTATTGTTATACTTGGTGGGGGGAAAGCAGCTTTCCATAGATTAGCAGAAAGAGAGGCCGGAGATGGCAGTTGGAGCGTCTGTTGGCCTTGAGATATGAAGCTGCTCTATAAATAAGAGAGTATTATTAGGCTGGTCCTTGCTGTCTGGAGCCGCAGGGTACACGGTGCCCATACTCCCCAGCCGCCCTCCGCGCTGGGAATGGAGCTTGGAGGAAGACCAACGGGGGGGAGACATGCCAGAGGGCTCCCCAAAGGGCAGCAGCTCTGCCTGCAGCACGGAAGGATTGCTCCCTTGGGCTTAATTTAGGGAACCACTGGTTGCCCCTTAGGTCTCAGGACTGGCTTTGCCGGCACAGAGACCCTCGTGATCCTAAAACGGCCAAGGTTGGCCAAACGCCCTGGGTGATGCCAAACCTTCTTGGGCAGCCCCGGGTTTGCCCTCAGCAGGCCATCCACAAGGAAAGAAGGCAAATTTGCAAGGGTGGAGTGCAGGGATCCCAGTGTTTTCTGGGCTCCCAAGGAGGATATGGGTGTCCTGGTGGCTGTTGGTAAGGGGCTCGTTATTATCATGGGTGAAGGATGAGTTTAACCCTTAAGTCTCTGGTTCCTGATGGAAAAGGGTCCTGAGCCACAAGCGTGATCTCACAGGAGCACAAGCACAGGCAAGTCTTTCTCTTCCAAGCGGGAAAGTGACCCCTTAAAAGACAAGAAGAAGCAAGGCTGGGAAGGAGAAGTGTGTATTTTGGGGGATACAAGGTCCCTGTGCACCTCCTTGGAGGAAAGAGGGTCTGCTCTTGAAGGACGTTTGCATTTTCCCACTGGGAGAAGCAGCCCCAGTCACGGTGAATGAGCTGCTGTGGGTGAGGGATACCCTGCAAAAAAAAAAACTGGGGAGAAGATAAACCTCACAGGAGGTTTGTCCACACTATGCGGGCTGGGAAATCTTCTAGGACCTTCCCCTTCACCAGTTTACCTCGGTGCTGCCTTGCTGCACCACTCCCATTGCCTCTCCCTTCCTGCAGATGAGTAATGTCACACGTGCCTTGCCTTCTCCCATGGCACCCGGAACCCCAGGGCCTGGCACGGTGGCCAGACTGGCTTCAGCCCCACCATCCCCAGCCCTCGTCCTGCTCACAGCCGCCAACAATGACTCCGAGGAGGGCCAGCAGCTTTTCCTGACCACCACAGCAGCGCAGGCCATCTCCGGCATCTTCGTGTGGTCGGCGCTCATCGTCACCTTCCACCAGGTACAGGATGGAGCAGAGAACGGGGCTCAGTGCTGGGACTGACGCAAGGGCAAACCTATTGATTGCCCCCAAGTTCGTTGCGAATCACTCATCCCTGGATAAATATTTCCTCCCGTTGCTGCCTGGAGGGGATATCTCCACCGTCGGGAGCCCGGGGCTGGCAGCTGGGGAGGGTGGACTTTGCCCACGCGTTCCCCGGGTGGCTGCTGGAGCTGGGAGAGTCTGCAGGGCATGGGCACTGCCCAGAGGTGACACCCCGTGGGGTTTCTCACCTGGTTCTGTGCCTTGGGGGTGTGTGCTGCCCACTGCCTCAAAATGTACCACCGGTGGGCACGGTTTTGGGCACTGCCTGGATCCCAGCTGCTGAAGGGTGAGCTGGTGTCTCTGGTTGCCCTCCTGTCCGGTGGTAGCCACAGCTCTGGGTGCTTTGCAGATCTACACACACCTGAGGAATTACACCATCCCCAAGGAGCAGCGCTACATCATCCGCATCCTCTTCATCGTGCCCGTCTATGCCTTCGACTCCTGGCTCAGCCTCCTCCTCCTCGGCAGCCACCAGTACTACGTCTACTTCGACTCGGTGCGCGACTGCTATGAAGGTGAGCACGGCCCCTCCTCGCCGGGGAGGCTGATGTCATCTCACCTGTGTCTCTGGGGTGTCCTGGGTTGCACAAAGTGGCAAATCTCTCTCTCTTTCACTTCCCACTCTTCCTCCACGCAGAGGCTTTCCCCCTCCTTCTCCATCAGCAGCAGGGATGGAGATGGATGGTCACCCCTGCAGGCTCAGAGGGATCCCAGAGTCATGCTCCTGGGGAAAGAAGTTTTCTGTCTGCCTTTGGGGTAGAAATGCAGCTTCTGTAAAGGGGAAGGTGGACATACCTTAGAAATTGGGGAGTTGGGATGTTTTGAGGTGCAGGGGAAGCTCATCAAGGTTGAGTTTGAGGTTGCTCTCCCACCTTGTTGCTCTCCCCCTGGGGAACAGAGGGGTGTGGGCACGTGTATTACTTTGGGTTTGGAGCATACGCCAAATAAGTGATGGGGATGTCCAAGAAAACTGTTCAGAACCTGTTCCTTGCTGGTCACCAGCCACTTGGGCTGCCCTGTAGCAATTCTGAGGTCCTTCCCATGCAGATGGTCCCTGACCATTGCACTCCTGCCTGTGGGCACGTGTATTACTTTGGGTTTGGAGCATACGCCAAATAAGTGATGGGGATGTCCAAGAAAACTGTTCAGAACCTGTTCCTTGCTGGGAACAAGCCGCTTGGGCTGCCCCGTAGCAATTCTGAGGTCCTTCCCATACAGATGGTCCCTGACCATTGCACTCCTGCCTGGGTGTGCGTGGAGGCTGGCTCCATGGGCACTGCTGGGACGTCCAGCTGCTGCCACGGGCACGTAGGGGCTGTGTGTGTGCCTGGAGGAGCTGCTGCCTCTGCAACAAACCCTGTCCACATTGTGCTGTGTGTCCGACTCTGGAAGTCAGATGGATTTGACCTGCTGCTCCTCTCGCTGGGCTCCCACCCACCAGTGTCCCAAATCCCGATGCGGTGCCGGGGTGGATAAAACACCTGAGCAGGAAGGAATGTGAAATGGAGCAAACCCTCCCTGCCTCTCCATCAGCCCCACTGACCGTGCCTGCCCTTGCCTTGCCAGCTTTCGTGATTTACAGCTTCCTCAGCCTGTGCTTCGAGTACCTCGGAGGGGAGAGCACCATCATGGCAGAGATCCGAGGGAAGCCCATTGCGTAAGTCCCAGCGGGCCGTGATTTCCTCCACCCTCCACCCCCTTTCCCCATCCAGCAGCCCCAACGGCATCTCCTCGGCTTCTGCTTCCAGGTCCAGCTGCTTTTACGGGACCTGCTGCCTTCAGGGCATGTCCTACTCCATCGGGTTCCTGCGCTTCTGCAAGCAGGTGGGTACCCAATGGGGCACATCAGCTCCGCTCCGAGGGCTCTCCGGGCAGCGGGTCCTTTCCCTACAGCCCTGCTGAGAGTGTTTTGCTTCCTCAGTCTCCTGAGATGCTCTTTTTGGTTTATTTTCCCTCCGAGGGAGGCAGCTCCCCCAGCTCGCCGGCACCTGGCCAGCAGCAGGGCTCGGAGCTCGCTGTCCTTGCCTGTGACTCACTGCTGAGTCAGGCTCTCCTCCCACTGCAGAGCTGAGATTGCCATCTCTGTCCAGTCCCAGGTTGGCCTGGACGGCTCTCCAGGGCTGTGCTGCAGGCTGAATCCTGGCACCAGTCTGTCCCCAAACCACCCGGTCCCCCCCCACCCCTCGGAGTGGCCACGCTGTCTTTCAGGAGCTGGCTTTTAGGAGCCCTGCTCCCTCCCTTCTGCAGACCTGGAGCTGGTTCATGTTTCACCCCCACAGTGTTGGTCACTCCTCTGATGGAGAACTGCTCTCTGCTGTGATGGAGAACTGCTCTCTGCTCTGGGTCACTGTCCCAGGAGGGGCCGGGGGTGGCAGGAGCTGCAGGGAGGGTGGTGGGATGTTCCTGCTGCCCAGGGTACACTGTCTCTCTCCCCTGTGCAGGCCACGCTGCAGTTCTGCATCGTGAAACCCCTCATGGCCATCGTCACCATCATCCTGCAGGCGTTCGGGAAGTACCACGACGGGGACTTCAAGTGAGGATGCTGGGTCAGGCTGGGGAGGGTGAAGGGGACAGGATGGGTGCCGTCTCCATCACAAGGGATGGGGTGGCCTGTCAGCCCCCCCGGGGAGCTGCCACACAGGTCGTGAGAGCACAGGGAGCCCAAAGGGAATGGAGACTCACTGCCCCCAGATAGTAAAGGGACAAAAATCCTGTGAGCCGTAACAAAAGAGGTCCAACCAGCTGAGTGTGGCCCCTCACTCCCCACTTTCTCCCTGCCTTTCCTTCCCCTCTTGGGCTGTGCTCTCCCCCATGGCAAAGCCACGCACATCTCCACCCAATTTCTTCCTCCCTTGCCTCCAGTTGCCCTCTCTTTGCTTCCCGCAGCCCAGGGCAGCAGCTCTCTCTCTTTCTCTACCTGCAGCGTCCACAGCGGGTACCTCTACATCACCATCATCTACAACTTCTCCGTCAGCCTGGCCCTTTACGCCCTCTTCCTATTCTACTTTGCCACCATGGACCTGCTGCGCCCATTTGAGCCGGTCCTCAAGTTCATCACCATCAAGGCAGTCATCTTCCTCTCCTTCTGGCAAGGTGGGTCCCACCACGGACGCTCAGCGCGTCTCCTCCCAAAGCCCCACCTGACCTGGGGACTCAGGACCAGAGCTAAGCCCTCTCCCTTCCCCTGCACAGGGACCCTGCTTGCCATCCTGGAGAAATGTGGGGTGATCCCTGAAGTTCAGATCATCGATGGGAAGGAGGTGGGAGCTGGGACGGTGGCTGCTGGCTACCAGAACTTCATCATCTGCATTGAGATGTTCTTTGCTTCCATCGCCCTGCGCTATGCCTTCACCTGCCAGGTGTACAGAGAAAAGAAAGAAAACTCAACAGGTAACTCTTTCTCTCTTCTTCCTTCCTTCATCAGTGAATAAGGAAAGAGGAGCATTATCAATAATGTCAATGCCTTATAGCTTTATCAATGGGATGCTAAAAGCCACCAGAGGAGTTTCCTTCTCCTGTGCTCATTGAGCTCCATCTCCCTCTTCCCTCGTGATGCCCACGAGCCACAGGGAGTGGAAAGGAAAAGAGACCTAGGTGTGGATGGGCAGAATTAGGGGATTGTGGTATCGTGGTACATTTCAGAGGTTCCATCCTCTGAAACATGGAGCTGGGGTTGCCTTTCTCCTTGGTGCTCACCGCTGTGAGCCAACGTGGCCCACAATGAGGCCCTGATAGTGAATTTGTAAGGAGAAGTGTCACTCCAGCCTTGGAGCACTTGGATCTCATGGACTGTCTGATGTCCCATCACCCTCCCTGTTCTTCAGCAAACCTCGCCCCGATGCAGAGCATCTCCAGCGGGCTGAAGGAGACCATAAGCCCCCAGGACATCGTGCAGGATGCCATCCACAACTTCTCGCCCGCGTACCAGCAGTACACCCAGCAGTCCATGCAGGAGGCAGAGAGCAAAGCGCCGGGGGAGAACGGGCACGTGGCCTCCAAGGCAGAGGGACCGGGCGGCAGAAAGAGCAAAAACATCGAGAAGAGAGTGCTGATCCTGTCGGATGAGGAGCTGTAGGACACATCAGAGGGGACAGTGACACGGGAGAAGTTTAAACCCATGCAAGTGGGAGCTGTCTCAAGGCTGAGGGCAACCTGGGCTCGTCGGAGTACCGAAAAGCCAGGAACTCTACCCAAAAAGCCAGTCTCTTGAAGGGAAGATGCAATAACTGAAGGAAAGGTTAAATAGTGCCAGCTTCTGCTCTCCCATCTCTACTGGTGTCAGGGACTGGGCTGACTTTGCTCCTGCGACTGAGCAGCCCTGGGCTTTGCTGTCCCACTGCTGGTGTCTCGATGCTGGTGTCCCAGTGTGGTGCCCACGCCAGGGGACAGCAGGGCAGGAGGGGAGCCGGGCTGCAGGACGGAGCAGCTGCCCTCACCCTCCTCTTACCTCCAAGCAGCGCCGAGGCCTGAGAGAAATGCTTTTCTCAGCACAGTTCTGCTCTAGTTTCTCCCAATTTGAGTGAAGAAAAATTGATCTCGGAGGGCCCCGTGGAGAAAACCAGCCCAGGAAGGTGACTTCGCTTCACCTCAAAACCCGGTAACGGTTGAAAGACGTCATTCCTTATTTTTACATCTTCTCCCCTCTCCTTCTCCCAGAGAAGCCTACGGAGTTGTGCAGAAGACCTTTACCAGGGAGGAAGAGCAAGTCATCCTCTTCTCCCTGCAGCTGTGGATGCAGCTGGCTGAGAACCTCCCCGGGGAGCAGAGTGAGGTCCCACGCGGGGCGAGCGCGGGGTCTCGCAGCTGCCGGTGACAGAAGCGCTTGTTTATGTCTAAACCGACTTATCTCTGGGTGGATCAGAAGTTAAAAGGGATTCCAGCTTCCTTATCGGGGTCCTCATTAGGGAACCAGACCGTGACTGGTGGTGGTAGGAATGTGCTTATTGGGAACTGTCTGTTCCTCCCAACCCCTCACTATTTACCGTCCCTGGGCTTTGTCCGACCTGGGGGAAGACAGGAGGAAGCTGAGTCCCCCCCCCAAAATGATGGTGGTGGGGATGGAGAGGCTCTGGGGGCTCCGGGCAGGACCACTGCAGTACCATGGAGGGATTGTCCCCCCTGAGATGATGGTGGTGGGGATGGAGAGGCTCTGGGTGCTCCGGGCAGGACTGCTGCAGTAGCATGGAGGGATTGTCCCCGTATCAGTGATGGAGAGCATACATCCTGCTATTAATCTCCCTCTGTTTTTTTTTTTTCCCCCCAATTTTTAGTCCAATTTCTATTCCCCTGTTCCTCAGGAATTTATTTAGGCACCGGCCAGGCTGGTTTTTGGGGGTGGGAGCTGGGTAGTGAAAGGACGAGGGCAAGTCTACAGCCTCAGATTTGCAGCCGTGTGGCAAACGAACCGATGGGAAAGGCTTAGAGCCATTTCACACACACCTCCTAGCGGTTTTTTGGTATTATTATTTTTTTCCCTGCTCTTAAGCTGCAAAATGTAAATCGCAACGTGAAATTATTTTATTTATGAATTTTTATTTTTTTTTTCTAATAAACAGCAATTTCTACCAGGGAGTGAGCGAGTGTTTTCACTTAGCTCAGCAAGCGAAGCCCACGATCTGCCTGTTCCTGCTCGAATGCTGATGCTCTTAGAGCTCCACGTCCTCCCTGCCCCTCCGTGCTGGCCCAGCAGAAATACCTGCACACGCAGCAGCCTGCACAGCTTGGTGTTCCCACAGGATTTGTGCTCATCTTTTTCACTCCACAGAGAGGGAGAGTGAGTGTGTGTGTTTGTGTGTGTCCCGTCCCCTCTCCTTGCACCGCTCCTCTTCCAACCCTCGCCTCAGCTGTGGATGCAGCAGTTCAGAGCTGGTGGATCCACGTTAGCCAAACTGAGCTGTGCTGGGATAGAGACTCCAATGGCAACAAGGCAACCTCTATTTATGATCATTGGGGAAACCTTATCCTGCTGGAAGCTTGGACTCCACATGAGAAGCCTGTAGCTAAGCCAATCTTGCGAGTCATAGGCTGGTTAGAGGTGGAAGGGACCTTAAAGACCATCTAGATCCAACCCCCCCCGCCAAGGGCAGGGATAAGTTCATGAAGGGAAGATGCAATAACCCAGGGAAAGGTTAAATAGTGCCAGCTTCTGCTCTCCCATCTCTACTGGTGTCAGGGACTGGGCTGACTTTGCTCCTGCGACTGAGCAGCCCTGGGCTTTGCTGTCCCACTGCCGGTGTCTCAATGCCGGTGTCCCACTGTGGTGCCACGCCAGGAGACAACTTCACTCCGAAGTGCTGCTGCTCATACCTGCTGAGATGCCACTTTTCCTGCAATGAGGTCCAGAAGCAGGAGCCACACGCCCTGCACATCCCTGAATCCATCCATTCACCCATGGCATCCTGCCATCAGGACCCTCCTGCCCATAAAACGCAGCCTCGGGGCTCAGGGAGGAGGATGGTTGGCTTCGTACCGCAGCCAGCACATCCCTCAGCTGAGCATCTTGGGTCTCCTCCATCCCTCGGAGACAGAGCTGGCCACAGCTGCAGGAACAGAGGCTGCTCGGGCTCCCGGGGCGAGGACAGACGGCAGAGGTGGTGGTGGCACATCTGTCTGTGGGCTGGTGGCTGCTGAGCTCCAGATTAGCACAAGAAGGCGGCGAGAGATGTGGTTGCACTTCGTTGCACAAACGATCGACTCCGGGGCATCACGGGCTGCGCTCGCTGCTCCTGCCAGCAGGTGCAATTCCCACCTCAGACAGCAATGTTTCCCTATTTATGTCAAGCCCTGATTACTGTATTATATGTAAAACGGGTCTCCCTTGCAAACAAAACAAGGAGGGGGGGGGACAGAAAAAAACAACTCAGCTGTGAGTGATGGCAGGCAGCAGTGTGACCCCAGCCCTAAGGAGCCCTGCTGGGCTGGACCCCAGTTGGCAGCAGCAGGACCCCCCCGGCCTCCTGCTCCTCCTTTTTTCTTGGAGATGGGGAAGAGAGGCAGGAGCTTGCAGCTGTCAGGGAGCTCAGGGCTGTGGAAACCCATCCGGGGAGAACAGAAGCCCCGGCGGTGGCGAGGGCCGAGCGTGTTTTCCCGGCGGCCGCGGTGCCGTGCTCCTCGGTTCGTGCTTCTCCTCCACCTTCCCCACCAAGGACGCCGGGAAAGCTGGCAGCCAGCGCAGGGGTGACCTCCACGGGAGCCCGGCTGTGCCTGGAGCCAGGCCAGCAGGCAGCTCGGGAGGAACAGGCTTTGCTCCCTGCCAGCAGCAGGCTCCAGTGGTCGGCAGATTTGTTTTCCAGTTGTCACTTGTCCTCGGGCTTTCCTTCCCCAAGGACAAGGGCTGGGGATATGGAGTCTCCCGGTGCTTTTTGGGCTTGGAGGGGGCAGGTTTGCCACCCAGTGGTGCCAGGGACACATCCTTGCAGGACCCTTCATTAGTAGGACAAGAGGGAAGGGTTTTAAACCAAAACAGAGGAGATTGAGATGAGATCTAGGGAAGAACTTCTTTGGTGTGACGGTGGTGAGAGCCTGGCCCAGGTTGCCCAGAGAAGCTGTTGGTGCCCCATCCCTGGAGGGGTTCAAGGCCAGGTTGGAGGGGGCTTGGAGCAACCTGGTCTGGTGGGAGGTGTCCCTGCCCAGGGCAGGGGGGTGGAACTCAGTGATCTCACCGTCGCACCCACAAGAGCTGGAGATGACCACAGCAACCCGAACCGTTCTATGATTGTGCCATCGCACCCACAAGAGCTGGAGATGACCACAGTCCCTATGAGCAGAGGGGAAGGATGGTGGCCACGAGCACTGCAGCAGAGCCACACGGCTGCTCCCTCACAGCACCCAGAGAGACTTGTTTTTAGGGTGTCAGCACCCACCAGCAAGTTCCTGGAGCATGACCTTCTGCAGCCCTCTTCACTGAGACCCTTCTCCAGACTTTCTCCTCCCCTAAGCACGGAGAAGGTTGAGTTTCCTTTCACTGCTGGACCACTCCTGATACCCTTTTCCTCCTGAACCCATGCTCCTCCATCACTCCGATGGACACAGCTGGCCCACCTCCCTCTCCATCACCACCAGCTCTCCAGGCAGGAGCTGAAACAGATGATGGTGATTTTCCTCACTCTGCCCAGCACCTGCAACCACCCCCCAGGGCTTCACCCACATCCCTGCTCCACCAAGCCTGCCTGGCCCCACCTCTGGCACCTAATGACCATCCATTACCTGCTGACACACAAAGCCTTTTCAGCCCTGCTTCTCTCTGCTTTGACCACATATAATCCTGCCTCTAATTCCAACGTGGGCCAACGCACCCGGCCACCTCCACCCTATTGCCTCAGCCCAGCTCAAGCCACACGTTCTCCTCCTTCAGCTGTCACAGAATCACAGAATCTTCTAGGTTGGAAGGGACCTTAAAGATCATCTTGTCCAACCATCAACCTAACTGACAAAAATAGACACCCACACGACAAAGGGACCACCTGGAACAGGGGATTCAAGCCAACGTGGCTCCTAGGAGCTCACAAGGTCTCACCTCTTCAAAGCCCAAACAGGGGAAAGATGAAATATTGAGGTAAGGGGTAAAAGCAGTTTGTTCACAAGCTGTCACATAGGGACAGCAGTGAAGGGGGTATTTCCCCCCCAAAGGAGAGGGGAGTGGGTGTCCCCAGCACCGTGACCACAGCCCGGGGGCTCCAAGCCCAGAGTGGCATCTAAGCTACCAGAAACACCCACCAGTGACACACAAAGGCACATCCTGGGGTGGGAGAAGAGATAGACATGGTCCAAGCATGGGATCTACCCGACAAACAGCTTGGATTAGAGCTATTTATCCCTTCAGCGTGTACCAAACAGAGGGAGGAAGCACCACAGCAAGGCTGGGAGATGGCTCAGATGCTTGTGAAAGCCCAAGAAGGCTCCTCACCCAGCCTTGCCCCCCAAAAACCCACAGCTCACCGGCAGGGCACCACCGACGGGCACCAAAACCCCAGGAAACACTCCACTGGAGATCAATTAAAGCTCCAAAATGCTGACCATAGACCAGGGCAAGTCTGAAACCAGAAAATGCTTTATTGGAAAGGTACAAAAAAACCAGTCACTGCAGCTAAATTTACAGCAATAAATTACGTTGTGGCTGTCAAGAGAAAGTAATGGACACATACACAGGGCTATTCGCCTTACAAACAGGAATCCACATTGCTTGGTATATCAATAATTTATTTTATAATAAAAAAGCAGCACAAAAATAAATATTGAAATGAAATTACTGAGTAACCACAGAGGATAGAATGAGCTGGTGATAAAAAAAAAAAACCAACTTAAAACAGAAGACTTCTATCATTAAAAAAATGAAAGCAAGTATCCACCATCTACGGAAACACCCCAGCAGACTGAAATACAGACGAAGGAAAACAAATCCACGTTACAAAAGTTTTTCGTTTTTGTTTTGTTTCTTTTTTTCTTTTTTTTGTGTTTTTTTTTTTAAATAAAAACAATCATGACCATGAAGTTTAAATGATTTGAGAGAGAACGAAAAAAAAAAGGAAAAATTAAAAATGCCACCTTCTCCTCCTCCTCCTCCTCCCCGGGTCGGAGCCGTCCGGTGGCCTGACTCCTGTGGCATCTCACCCAGCCCTGCCACAGCTCGTCCCCTCCCCGGGGGCTGCGGTGTCACCCCCATCTCCTCCAGCAGCCCCGGAGCTGGGCAAGAGCAGAGACGCTGGTTTCACAGGGGTCTGGAGCTGCCCTGGAGGGAAAGGTTCCCCACTCGAGAGAGAACGAAAAAAAAGGAAAAATTAAAAATGCCACCTTCTCCTCCTCCTCCTCCTCCCCGGGTCGGAGCCGTCCGGTGGCCTGACTCCTGTGGCATCTCACCCAGCCCTGCCACAGCTCGTCCCCTCCCCGGGGGCTGCGGTGTCACCCCCATCTCCTCCAGCAGCCCCGGAGCTGGGCAAGAGCAGAGACGCTGGTTTCACAGGGGTCTGGAGCTGCCCTGGAGGGAAAGGTTCCCCACTCCCAATAGAGAGCACAGCAAACGGGTCTACGACAACAAGAGATGTCCATATGTCCCCCCCGTCCCTACCCCGATGCTTTTCCCCTTTTTCCTCCTGCCCCCCCGCCAGCCCCATGGGTCCCACCTCACACACTGCGGATGGGGAGCGACCAAAGCAAGGCCAGACCCCGGTGGAGAGGACCCAGCACTCAGATCCAGAGCCCCCCCAGGTCCCCAGCGGGGCTGGGATGGGTTTGGGGGGGGGGGGACATAGAAATGAAGAGGGGGAGAGAAGGGGGAGCCCCAGCACCCCAACTCCAGCAGTGGCAAGAGGAGGGAGAGGACCGGTGGTGGGGATGCTGTGGGCAGCAGCTGGGTCCCCACGTGGTGCTCACCCCGGGCATCGGGCTGGCAAGGGCAGGACGGAGAGAAAAATTTAAAAAAAAAAGTAAATTAAAAAAAAAATAAACAAAACAAAACAAAAAAACCCAACAGAACCAAACTCCCCCCATTAACCCTCTGAAGAAGCGTTAATAAATTCTCAGTAGCTTTAGCAAAACAGAAAAGT